GCTTTATTCTCATCTGCCAAGTGAGTCAGGATCAGTGACACACTGAATTAGGGAATCTTTAAGGTACGTGCCAGTTCTAAAATTGGAATCAATTAGAAGATGTGTATTAGTGGAATTCTTTAGACTGTTTCTTACACTTTTTTATTGCAAGAAGTACTGTGAACTTTTACATGTAGGTTCAAAGAAAAGTGAGAGAGAAATGATTTCTGCTTTGAAAATATACCCGAGATTTGCCCAAAGAATATCTTGAGAATGTCGTTGGATTTTCACATTGGTACTGTTTGCTTAACGTGGCTTTTCTAATGTGTTGAAGTCCATAAGTTTCCCAGGGTGGAAAGAGAAATAAAATACCCTTGGGAGGAAGTTAAAAGCAAATCACTTTGCTGATTTGACATTGGCTTTTCAGATTGTAACTGTGGGACGCAACTTGGCCTTCCCTCCTTCTGCCCCCTAGTATGTCCCCTTCTCTTCCTTCGTATGAATTCATTCTCTCTTCCCTGTTTACAACAGGATCATTCTTGGCTTCTGGCCCTTGTCCATCCTGTGGCTCCACTGGCATCTCTCTGATCTGTTAAGCTTCTGTTGATCCATTAAGTCATGTTTCTCCTTCAGAAGAACTCCAGTTAATACTGATCTTTCTGTCTTCCTGTTTCACATGATGTAGCCCTGAATTTCATATTACCTTATTGCTTGCTTTATTTTTTCCTTCTTATTTCCCCTCAACTGGCTACATACTTCTTGGAGACAGGATCCTTCTTTAATATATTGTGTCTCTATGTAGAGTATAGCATAGTATTTGGCTGTTTTTCGGGGTAGGGAAAGCCTTGATGCTCTTTTGGAGCCTCATTCTCAGAGTTCTGGAAGCCAAGATGACATCCTGAAATCTGCTTTAACAGCTGTCAGCCACTGGTATAAAAGTAATGATCAAGTCAAATCTTAGCACATCCTAATGCAGTTGTGTGTGTATGTGTGTCTGTGTGTGCATGCATGGATGTATCACTTTACAGTGAAAATGCCAATTTTTGTTCCATGCTTCCCTTGGGAGCGCAGCTGTACTCCACATTCCCGGGGTGTAATGGAAGACCAGCTTATCTTACAGTTGACACCACTCTGGAAGTTCCTTGAGTAAGGAAGGAAAGGAAGAAGCAGCTTGGGCAAGGGACTGTAGCAGATGTGGTCAAAATATATTCCAGCACACAAGGGTCTCCTTTTCTTTCTCACACACAAGACTTTATCATTTTTTTCTCATGATCAGCTAGGACTGGGATGTGCATCGTGATGTATTTTTTAAAGGATGGAGTTCCCTGCATTTTACTCTGTTACATTTTATTTTTAAATATTTACATATTTTCTGTCCCATTATTGGTCATGTACTAGTAGTCAGGCTTGCCTAGCCTATGATGAAATAACAAATAAACCTTGAAATCCTAAGGGCTTAACAAAACAAATATTTATTTTTCTCTCATGTCAAAATCAAAGGATTGGATAGTGTCCTCACTGGCTCGTCCTAATAAGGACTTGGGGACCCAGTGATGATCTTGTAGTATATTCCAGAAAAAAGTTTACCTGCTCCACTCCCATATAAAAGGAGTATATAATCAGTTTCTTGATGAATAAAACAACTAACAGCATGAATGTTCTTATTTATTCATGCAGATTAGCTATTCTTCCTGTCCCCTCACCTCCATCCCCCTCTCCCCACACACAAAGGAGTTTTTTCACTCATCGTATCCGTTCATTGTTAAGTAATAATTGCAACAGAGGCTGAGCCTGGAACACCAGGACTTTCTGGAACATAGCACGTGGGCATGTAATCCTAAAAAGGAATTTGTATGCTGAGGAATTTGACGTGCAACAACTGGCCTTCTCTTCACCCCAAACCTAGCATAGTGCCTGACACAGGTCAGTGACACAATTAAATATTTGTGGGATGTGGGATGAGTGAACTCAGAACTCTCCTTAGCTTTGCCTTTACTGTAGAGATAACATGTTTTATTACTTTACCTGTCTAAAGATATTCCCTATCATTTCCTGTCCCTGCCCATATTTGCAGTAGATGCTTTGGAACGAAGATTTGGACTTCATCTGTTGTAAAAAAAAACTA